GCGAGAACGGCCCCCACGTATGCGTCTGTGAACACACATGAACAAGCACAGGTGTACAACGCATGACAACACGTGTGACTGTGCGCTCGTGCACCTGCGCGTTAATGCACATGCATATGGGCGCCGGTATGGGCCCCTGTTGGCAGCCGCCAGTGAGGCCGGCCAGGGGCAGCGGGGCAGGGCTGTTCCCTGCACTGCCCCTGGCGGGGAGCCGCGTCCTCGCGGGCTGGCGGCCACGGGAGCGCGCAGGAGGACGCGCATGCGCGCCTGTGGGGCGGGGCGGCCCAGCCGGCTGGAGGCGGTGGTCTCGGCCCTTCGGAAACCAGGGCATCGATCCTGCCCGCCCCGCGCCCCCGCGCTGGCCCACCGAGCGGAGAGGAGGGAGGGAGAGAAGAAGGGGGAGGAAGGGGCGCGGCAGCTGCGCCCCGGGCGCTGCGGGAGGGAAGAGCGCGGCGCGCAGCCGCGGCCATTAGTCACCAGATGTCACCTTCTGCTGCCAAGGCGGCGCCGGGCGCAGACAATGGCCGCGCGGGCCGAGGGGCGGGTCGTGCCGACCCAAAGCCGCGCCTCTGCTGACACCTACAGCCCCGCTCCGCGCTCCGCCGCCCCTCTGGGCCCCTTTGCCCAGGCCGCTCCCGCCGCCGCGCCTGGCCAGCACCACCTTCCCCATGGCCCTTCCCCGAGGTCCGTGTAAAGCCTCCTCTCCCAGGACGCAGCGCAGGTGTCACTGCCTGCATTTCCTGGTCGTCCTCCCTACCCCTCTTCCCATTCTCATAGCCCCTTCCTCCAACTCGGATACCCGAGAGGGGTTTCCCTGCTTCCCCAGACTGGGCTGTGTGAGGACCGTGCTTTCTTCCCGGGCGCCTGGCGCTGTGCCTGACACTCAAGGCTGGTGCCTGGGGTGGCACTGGTGCCTTCCAATTTGCAGGGGAATCATGCTAGATGTTGAAGTTCACTGTCACCCACATGTAGGTGCACTTGACCTCATGCTGAGATAAAAGCCCTTCACCCTAGAAATGTAACAGGGATCACTGAGTTTTTCCCTGGGCACAGATATCCCCCCAAAATATAAGTGGGAAAGAGAGTCGACCTCCCTATGTAGCAGTGTCCTAAGTGTGGCAGACCTTTTACAGCTCATTTTTAAAAAGCCCACCACCCCAGTGCTTTGAGTCCACAACCATGCAGCATTGAGACCACCAAATGTGCAGGACCAGGAGTCCCTTCTTGGACCTCAGGACCCTAAGCTAGGAGTCGTCAAACTTTTTCTCTAAAAGGCCAGGAAGTAAGTATGTTAGGCTTTGCCCAGCCACGTATGTTTCTGTCACATAGTCTTTGACTTTGTTTTTGCAACCCTTTAATAAAGGTAGGAATCATTCTCAGCTCGGCGACCATGCAAAGGCAGGCAGAGGGCAGTATTTGGCCCCAGTTTGCCTCACCTGTCCTAGACCTGCAGAATACCAGTAGCCAGAGAAGCTAGATTGTGCAGAAGCACACTAGGGTCAGGATCAGTGTCAGAGAAACCTGAGCTGGAATCCCAGGTCACCCTGGGCAGCCAGTGGCACTCATTGTGCCACCACGCAAGGTTAGAGGTAAACGGAAACACCATTAGAACCTACTTTGCAGGGTTTGCTGGAAGATGATGAATTTCCAGCACAGGGCCTGTGAGAGTGCCCACTAACTGTTTTTGTCCCTCTGTCACTCAGTGTGTATGTGTCTAGGTGCACGTGCATGCGCACGCACACACACACACACACATACACAAGGCCTCTGGCAAGAAGAGGCTGACCCATGATCTCTGGAGATGCTGCCACAAGATAAGGAAGTCATGGGAGCCAGACAGATTGAAGTTGAAATCTTGGCTCTGCCCTTGCCTGGCTTTGTGACCTCCAGCAAAACACTGAAACTTCCTGAGCCTCAGTTTCCCCATTTAAAACCAACAGAATATCACCAGTACCAAGTTAGTTGCAGCATGCCTACGGTGACTTACTGAAGTTACCTGTGAAGGCACTGAACACAGTGCTTGACACATGAGAAGCCAGGCAGGTGGGGTGGCTCACTGTGGCTGTCGTGGTGCTAGCCTCCGTGGTAGAAAGGCAGGCCCCTCCAGGACAGGGACTGCTCATTCTGACACTCCCGAAGGCCTCCAATGTTGGGAATCCAGGGCTCAGCCTGTGCTCCAGGGCGTGGTGTCCTTCTCAAAGTGGCCTTGAGGCTTTCTCAATGCTGGTGGCTTGCCATTGCCCTCTCTGCCTCCCCAGCCCTCGGTCCTCTCAGAAGAGCACTCCCCAGGTCATGGAGAGACAGGCACTCCCAAAATCCCCAAGAAACCCAGCCTCCCTTCTGTTTGGTTTTGTTTGTTTCCTTTTAAAAATAATGTTTATTTTTAAAATCTGACTCCAAAAGACACGCGTATTGTTAGAAACAATCTGGAAAAGAACAGAAATTTTAAAAATTGCCCTTTATCCTATCATCACTGAAAAACAGTGTGACCATTTCGTGCAAGTTTTCCAGGCTTTTTTCTTATGTATAGCACACATTATATATGTAGATCCACATTTTTGTTAAAAAATGGGAACATATGCTGTATCCTGAAATCTTTTCTTCTTTTCACACAACACAGCTTGAACATCTCCTCATATCCTTAAGTCCCGTACATTATTGTTTTTGATGCCTGTGTAATATCCTATTATAAAGAGAGCTAAACCGTTTTATAAATCAATCATCTATCATCAGAAGCAACACAGATATTTTAAATAGCAATGAGGATTTCCAAGACTGATGAGCACATCTGTGAGGGAGGATATTCAACCCAGAATGGGAAAATGGGTAGGGGTCTGTATGCAGAGAGAGTTTTCTTCACTTTCTCCTTGGGGGTCTCAGGTTTTCCACCAGCAAAGGGCTGCATTGCTCTCCTGGATGCTCCAGGAGTGCCCCTGCAGCTCAGCTGCTCCCTGGGAGAGGCTTTTTAGCCATAAACATGAAGTCAGCATGGCAGGGAGAAGAGAGCCAGGTCTCCCACTTTGGAGACCAGTGGCCACCCTGCAATGCCATGCCACACAGCCTCGGTCCCTTGCCCCACTGCCATGTGAAACACAGTGCTCACATGAACCATCTCCCTCCAACACAGCGAGAGGAGCCCAGCTGTGAATCCTGGGGAAACAGGGAAGGAAGGAAGGAAGGAAGGAAGGAAGGAAGGAGGGAGGGAGGGAGGGAGGGAGGGAGGGAGGGAGGGGAGGAGGAAAGGAGGGAGGGGGGAAGGAAGAAGGAAGGAAGAAAGAAGGGAGAGAGGGGGGAGGGAGGAAGGAAGGAGGGAAGAAGGGAGGGAGGAAGGGAAGAAAGACGGAGGAAGGGAAGAAAGACGGAGGAAGGGAAGTAGGAGAGAGGGAGGAAGGGAGGAAGGAAGGGAGGGAGGGAGGGAAGGAGGGAGAATGAAGAGGGGGAGAGAAGGGAGGGAAGGAAGGAAGGAAGGAAGGAAGGCTCTGTGCAGTCAACAACCCTGCAGCTGCAGCTGAAGTGTGGCAGGCAGGCCAAGGCTGGGGGTGATCTGAGGTCTCTCTGCTGGTCTGAGCTCTCCCACCATGAGGCTTCAAATTAGAATTTCTAGTCGTGTGACCTTGGGTGAGCCATTTCTCCTCTCAGAGCTTCCATTTCTCTAAAAGTAATGAAGAAGTGTAATAGCTGCCCACAACCCCTTCTCGCATTGTGAGGCTGTGGACACAACAAGGACTCCTTAAACATTCCTCACCAACCTGCCTCCATTTCCATCCTGGGCCCTGACAGTCAGATGCCAGGTATCTATTGAGTGCCTACTATGTGCGGGGTTCCTGGGGTGCAGAAAGAAAAAAACAAATGGAATGCCTGCCCTCACAGCACTCAAGATTAATGAGCAAACAAAGCATTCCCAGTAAATAATTGATTGTTATGTTATGTGTTATGCTATGAAGAAGTATTATATTCCCTGAGAGCACCAATCACCCCTAGTGGTGGAAGATGGGGTGATCAGGGGAGGATTCTCGAAGAAGGAGTCATTTCTTTTTCTTTTTTTTTTTTTTTTGAAACAGAGTCTCACTCCATTGCCCAGGCTGGAGTGCAATGGTGCAATCTCAGCTCACTGCAATCTCTGCCTCCTGGGTTCAAGAGATTCTCCTGCCTCAGCCTCCTGAGTAGCTGGGATTACAGGCATATGCCACCACACCCGGCTAATTTTTATATTTTTAGTAGAGACAGGGTTTTACCATGTTGGTCAGGCTGGTCTCAAACTCCTGACCTCGTGATCTGCCCACCTTGGCCTCCCAAAGTGCTGAGATTACAGGCGTGAGCCACCACACTCAGCCAGAAATAATCATTTCTATGAGAGAGAAGGATTAATAAGAATTGTATACAGAAGAAAAGTCTAGGGAAGGGTGCTGCAGGCAGAAGAAGTGGCCCTTTGGTGGAAGAGAACATGCCCTGAGCCAAGGCTGACCACAGGCCAGTGGGGCTGGAGTGTCAAGGGTGGGGGCAAATGGCTAAAGATGGGACTGGAGGGGGCAGGGCCTCTCAGGCCATAGAACTGTCTTGTAAGAGTGTGTATCGGGCAAGTATGGTTGAAGACACACAAAGAGGCCTCCAATGAGCAAAGGTGGGATAAAAGGGCACGGGTCAGACACAGTCTGAAGCTAGCCTTATAGGTTATTGTGAGCATTTGGGCTTTTGAGTGAAATGGGAGCCATGGAGCGTGGAGAGAGTTGAGGGGAGGAAAGGCACGGTCTAAGAAGCTTTAAAAAGAACACTGCAAGTTCTTCTTCCAACGGAATGGAGTGAACTCTTAACAGATATACCTTCCCACAAATAATATCTACAAATTCTGCATATAACATAGAAAACAATGGCTGAAAGGCTCTGAAGTGACCAAAATGATCGAACGACCAAAATGAGCAAAAGCAGGCGGATTTTGGAAGGATGCCGAAGCTCTAAGAAGGGACCGGCATGTGGTAAGTTTTCCACTTGGGTGGCTTTACCCAGAGGGCAGGTTGCAGCTGTGGCCTTGTCCAGGGCTGCTGAAAGTCCAGTGGAAAATGCTGTCTGTTTGGCCTGAAGAGCCAGAGGACACAACGTAGAGCAACCAGAGCCCCTGGAAAGGAAGGGGGATTTTCTGGAAAGGAAAGTGCCAGAAATGGCCCAAATTCCGTTAGTAAATTCTGATCAAGTCTGTGGCTCACTTCTGAATCACATATGCACAGAAGACTCAAGACAACTTGCAACTAAGGCTAAACAAACTGAGCTGTGATTTGAGATGCAGCCCACTGTAGGCAGAACAGTTAGTAGCTTGAGTCTGACCAAGTGAAATGCCTGTTAAAACAAAGACATCAGCACTCTTTGGAAGAATATGACAAACTCCAGAATCTCTATAACATATCATTTCCAATGTTCAGGATAAAAACCAGAAGCAACACACAAGAAATTAGAAAAATATAATCCATCCTCAAGGAAAAAGATAATCGATGGAGATCAACTCTCAGGTGACTTAGAATTTGAAGTTAACAGACAAGTACCATAAAGCAGTTATTGGAACGGTGCTAAACAAGGCAAAAGAAAATACACTCATAATGAATGAAGAGATAGGAAACTTCTAAAGAGAAATAAAAACATAGAAAGCATAAAATGGAAATTCCAGTACTAAAAAATACAATACCTGGACTATTTTAAACAATTACTGTATGGGCTTAAAACAGAATGAAGATGGCTGCGGGTGGTGGCTCACACCTGTAAACCCAGCAGTTTGGGAGGCCCAGGCGGGCAGATCACTGAGGTCAGGAGTTCGAGACCATCCTGGCCAACATAGTGAAACCCTGTCTCTACTAAAAATACAAAAAAATTTAGCTGGGCATGGTCACACATGCCTGTACTCCCAGCTACTCAGAAGGCTGAGGCAGGAGAGTCACTTGACTCCAGGAGGTAGACTAGATTGCAGGGAACTGAGATCATGCCACTCCAGCCTGGGTGACAGAGTAAGACTCCATCTCAAAAAAAAACCCAGAATGAAGATGACAAATAACTATCTGTGAGCTTAACTTGATCAACAGAAGCCGTTTAATTAAAAAAAAAAAAAAAAAAAAGAGGGACAGGAAGGGGGGATTAAAAAAATGAACAGTGTCTAAGAGGCCTGTGGGATAACATCAGAGATCTAATATATGCATAATTGGAGTGCCAGAAGGAAGGAGAGGAATAAGACAGCGTAATTTTTTTTCCTTAAGAAATAATGTCAAAATGGCATGGTGGCACACACCTACCTGCCCAAGAGGCTGAGGCTGGAGGATTGCTTCAGCATGGATGCCCAAGACCAGCAGCCTTCTCAAAGAAAAAGAGAGAGAGAGAAAAGGAGAGAGAAAAGAAAAGAATGAAATACTGGCAAAGAAAAAGAACAAAATAGTGGCAAAAACAACAACACCCACTTTTGAAACTGGGGCAAAACACGAATTTACATCCACTCATTCAAACTGCTAAAAATAAAAGCTAAAAAGAAAACCTTGAAAGCAGCCAGAGAAAAAAAGACACGTTACATAGAAGAACAAAGATTCAAATAGCCACAGACTTCTTACCAGAAACTCTGGAGGCCTGGAGCAGGAAATATTTTTCAAAGATAAAATGGAAAATATTTTTCAAAGATAAAATATAACAATATGACAATAAAAAAGAGTGAAAATTTTTTAATTATATAGCTATTTACATAGCATTTACATTGTATTAGGTATTATAAGAAATCTAGGGATGTTTTAAAATGTATGAGAGAATGTTCAGAAGTTATATGCAAACACTATGCCATTTTATGTAAGAGACGTGAGCACCCATGGATTTTGGCATCCATGGGAGAGTCCTGAACCCAGTTCCCCACATTTCATTTAAAAGAAAATATATGGAATGTGTCACCAAAAGACCTGAACTATAAGAATACTAAAAGAAATTCTTCAGAATTAAGCAAAATAAAATCAAAGAGGCACTGGATCTTCAGAAAAAAAAAAAAAAAAACCATCAGAAATGTATTTGAAATAATTGGTAAATATATAAAATTATAAGTTACTTTTCCTCTTAATATCCTTAATATGCAGATAACTGTTTAAAGCAAAAATGATAACACTGTCTTATAGGGTTTATAATGTGTGTAGATGTAATACATATGAAAACTATAGCATACAACGGGGATGGCAAATATTTGTAAGAGGTCTGCATTTTACATAAAGTGATAAAGTATTAACTCTAAACTGACTGTGAAAAGTTAAGGACGTATATGTAATCTCTAGAACTGAAAAAAAGAAACTTTAAAAAATGCAAAGCAGTATAGCTAAAAGGACAAACAGTTGCATGAAAAATGGAATTCTAAAACAATCCCCGGGCTTCTGTGCAAAGGGTGACTGCAGACAGACTAGTTAGGGTGTTACTGAAAAAATCCAGGTGGGTGACGGTGCTGGCTTGGACTAGAAGGGGCCGTGGAGATGGGGAGAGGCGGTCAGATTCCGGATGGATGCTGAAGGTAGAACCCAGGGGATTCGCTCGTAGATTGTATTTGTGGTGTGAGAGAAAGAGCCAAGGATGACCCTAGGGCCTGTGAGCCTATGAGCTAAAGGGACAGAGCTGCATTTGCTGAGACTACAAAGAAGACTCTCCTCCCTTTCTCTCTCCACTTCTCTGCGGCATCTGAGACCTGCAGCAGCTCCATGTTTGGAAACCAAGCTGGGCTAGAGGCCCGGTGAGGAAAGAGATGGGGACAGTCATATGCCGCCCAGCCCAGCCCTCAAGTTGGAGCAGCAACGACAGAGCATGTGTGCCTCTTGGCAAGGTTCACATCAGATCGAAACTTCATCCTTATGGCTTCTTCCAGCTTCCAGAGCTCCATCTCCAAGAGTCGCTTCCCAATGAGAAGTAATTGAGAAATAATTACTAATATTTCACAGAGATGGCAGAAGCCTCAGCCCCAGCCTCTGGAAACAAATTAGAGACGAGGATGAGGGTTAGAAATGGAGAGCGGCCCTGCTTCTCATTAGCAATGACAAATAAGATTACAGAAAAAATGCTTCTGCCATGAGGATGGCGTCTGCCTGGAAAAAAATTAAACTAGTTGCAGGGTAATGTAGAGACCCTGGACCAGGATTCAGAATCTGGGTCGGGGGTAGGGTTCTAGGACTGACTTGCCTCAAATCAAAGAGCAGATCTTCGGCAACCTGTCTGAGCCTCAGTTTCCACGCCTGTTAAATGGCAAGAGGCTGCAGGACTCAACTCTGCAGCTGGACAGTGACTTATGGATGTAAGCCACTTTGGGCAGAGACAGCGCCCGGGCCCCACCAGCACAGGTAGCTCAGACTCACAGACATACGAAGACAGCAGGGAGCACTGGCTTAGAGGACTTTGCCTTTCCTGGCCTGGCCTAAATCCCCTATATCCTGGCTCCATCCTGAGTAAGAATGGCTGACATTTATCAAATGACAGACACTGTTCTGAATTCTTCACGGGCATACATTTATTTAACCCTCACAACAGCCCCATGAGGTAGGTACTATTAATATCCCCACTTTATAGAGAAAGAAAATAAACTACACAAAGGCAAATTAACTTGGCCAAGGCCGGACAGCAAGCAAGTTGCAGAGCCAGAAGAGTGAACTCAGTCTAATCTTAAAACCTGTGCTCCTAACCACCAGGCTATTTGGCCCTTCGAGGCTTCTGGGGCTCCCCATCTCTGCCCCCTGACCCCAGACTGCAGAAGTTTTGGCAGTTAGTCCACCAGAGATCCCTGTCTCCCAAGGCCCCATAGACTTAGGTATGAATTATGATTCTATCACTTACAGCCACACAACTCTGAGCCTGTGTTTGCTTTTGTGTATTTTTTTTTAATTATAGATTTGGCACAGGCTTACTCTAAGGAAGAAAGAAGACGTGGGTATAAGAAATCAGGCTAGGCATGGTGGCTCATGCCTATAATCCCAGCACTTTGGGAGGCTGAGGTGGGCGGATCACTTGAGATCAGGAGTTCGAGATCAGCCGGGCCAACGTGGCAAAACCCCACCTCTACTACAAATACAGAAATTAGCTGGATGTGGTGGCATGTTCCTGTAATCCCAGCTACTCAGGAGGCTGAGGCAGGAGAATCACTTGAACCCAGGAGGCAGAACAGAGGCTGCAGTGAGTTGAGATTGTACCACTGCACTCCAGCCTGGGCAACAGAGTGAGACTCTTCGTCTCAAATTTAAAAAAAGAAAAAGGAAAGAAAGAAAGAAATCAAGCCCTAAGGGTCGGTTGCTTCCCTGCAGCCCCATCTCTGTCCAGCACTAAAGGACCCTCAGGCTCCTTGAAATACTCTCACCCCTCCAGTCTGCTCAGTCCTCTTCCTGACTCGGCGCCAAGGCCACCCTTGCTATGAAGCCCTCCTCTGTTCTCCCCCATCAAATCCCACCCCCAACCCACACTCAGCACTCCTTCCCAGGCATCTGCCACTCCAGTGTCGCCTGTATGGCCCCTTTTCCATCCAGAAATGTAGCACCCCATGGCTACCTGGTCTTCAGGAGTTTTCCTGTCCCTCCTTTGCCATGAAAGGTGGTATTTGAGGATGGCCAAATTCTGCAGCCTGGCTTTGAAGGCGCTCCCTATCGTAGGTCTGGCACTCTGGAGAAGCTGACCTCGTTTCTATAACCTCCCCAGGGTCCACTGCCCCTACTCACACTACAGCCTTTGTCCAAATCCCTCTCTCCAGCCCCCACCCAGAAGCCTGGAGACCAGGATGGATTCTGAAGTACTAGGAGAATATTCTGGCCAGAGATGCCCTGGAGACAGTCCATGAAAGGGAGTCCTGAGACCAAGGCAGAGGGGTTGGGTTACTGGAGAGCTAATCTGATTAGACCCAGTCAAAGGGGAAGGGGTTGGACAGTGGGGACAGGAGCCTCGAGCCTGAAAAATAGAGTAATAGATCAGGATGTTGAGGCCAGATATGGAGACCGGCAAGGAGAGGACAGAACATGGAGGGAACAGAAGGGCCTGGCTTCCAGCCCCAGCTCCAGCGCTCACCTGTTCCTACCAGCTGGGTGGCCCCACATAGGCCACCTAAGCTCTCTGAGGCCCAGGGTCTTATTTTAAAGTCAGGCCAATCTACTCAGTACCCCAGGATTTCAAGGGATTCCATAAGAAAGCACAGAGGACCAAGGGCTGGGTGCTGAGCTTGTCCCTGACAGGGCTTTCTAAAGGGAGCTTCCCCTCATCCCCTCTCCATGCACAGAGCAAGATAAAGTACCCCGCCCCTGCACCCTGGGGGCTGAAAAGGACCTGCAGCAGCCAGCAGCTGGTCTGTCAACCTGAGAGAGCCTCTGCCCCCAGGGAGGCTCCTAATTTAATCAGCTTCACAAATCAGCTCGATGGGCTTAATTGATCTTTTTCACTCCTAATATTGTCGCTGTCACTTTCTGAGTTGTGCCTCCCCCAGCCACCCCCTGCCTCAGCCAGCTGGAGAGGGAAAAGGAGCCCAGAGGCCACAGTGGGAGGGAGCTATGGACGGGGAGGGTATGGAGGGCAGGGACAGTGAGGGAGGACCCAGATTGACACCTTGAGCCAGACTTTGGGGACTGCAAAATGCTGTGGTGGCAATTGTGGGATTGGAAAGCAGAAGGGCTTCTAGAGATTTACCTGGCCAGGGCCTTAAGCAGGTCACTCTAGGGCCCTCTGGGGCTCTGCTTCCTCATCTGTAAAGATCACAGCAGTACTCTGCCTGTCCAGATCCATTCATTCTACGAGTGTTTGTTCAACACCTAGGCTATTCCAGGTGTGGTGCTAGCTAGACACAGGGAATGATGGTTTACAAAAGTAAACCTTTTCCAGCCCCCGTGGGGCACTCTAGATAAGCTGTCCTCCCTTGGGTGACACCCCCACGGAGCACAGACGAGTGGGGAGGCTGCCATCAGTGGAATAAGCACGTGAACACATGTCGAAATGCTGCAATGAGAAGCGAAAGGGAAGTCCCTGGTGCTGGGTGGGGCGGGGTGGGGGGAGGGCTCACGGAGGACTCGGTGCCTGAGTTGAGATTGAATGAGGCTGGGCACAGTGGCTCACACCTGTAATCCCAGCACTTTGGGAGGCCTAGGTGGGTGGATCACCTGAGGTCAGGAGTTCAAGAGCAGCCTGACCAACATGATGAAACCTCGTCTCTACTAAAAATATTAAAAAATTAGCTGGGCATGGTGGCACGTGCCTATAATTTCAGCTACTGGGAAGGCTGAGGCAGGAGAATCACTTGAACCCAGGAGACGGAGGTTGCAGTGAGCTGAAATCATGCCATTGCGCTCCAGCCTGGGC